CTCACCGGCAGGTGCTGGGAGCCACAGGGGCCGCGGTAGCGAGAGACCCGGATGGGTTCCCAGGAGCCAACGCCGAGAACTTTTCCGGTGGCAGCTGCTGAGACTCAGGACAGAATTAAGTACATTTTTTGTTAAAAAGTATATTTTTTATTGATTTCGGAGAGGAAGGCAGAGGCGGGGGAGAGATAGAAGCATCAGTGATGAGAGAGAATCATTGATCGGCTGCCTCCTGCACGCCCCCCCCCCTTCTGGGGCTGGAACCGTGACCTCCAGGCTCCTAGGTCGATGCTCAACCTCCCGCCTGCAGAGTTAAGTGCGATGTGATGGGGGGTGCGGACTTGGCGCCCTGCAGTAGTAGCGCCTGGATTTGTAACTCAGTGCTCAGCACAGCGCCTGCCATACCCTTCATGCATGAAATATACAAAAAATATACCACAAAACCGCCTTTCCCAGTGGCATCCTTTCCAGGGTGCCAGGCTCTTGGTTAGCAGGGAGGTGGGGAATGAAACAGGGTCTTGTAGCCCCCGAAGCCCAGGTCCCCTTTTAGCACTGCGCCGTGAATGACAGGCGCCCCTCATCCCAGCTTCCCCCAGGCGCTTCTTCCTCCAGGTGGGCAGAGAACAGAATGGACAGTCCTCGTGGTCGAGGTCCCCTCCCCGCACCCGGTGATTTCGGCTTCTTGGAGCTGTACCCACTTCCTCATCGACCCTGGAGAGTTGTCTAGCTAAAGTTGGAGAAGACAAGTACGATTCTGCCCAAACTGCTTCCTCCTGCACGCGCTGGACACAGCACGTCTGAGCAGTCAGAGGGTGAGGGTGGCTGTCGCCTGCACACACTGCTCCCAGCCTGGCCCCGTGCTGTGTTGTATCAGCGTTTACAGACCAGGAACAGGCTCAGAGAGGTTAGGTGACTGCCCAGGGTCCCCCGCGTGTGGCTGCCCTCCAGGGCCTGTTGAATGTGGCCACAGCCTTTTGGGTTTGGTGTGACAACTTAGGAAAGAGTCCAAAAATGGCATTTTCCACCACATGAAAGCAAACAACTACAGTTAGGAGGCGTGATTGTGTTCTGTAGCTCATCTAATTGGAAGGATATAAATTCTTTGTGTGTGTGTGTGGTTTTTAAAAAATATTTTTTAATATTTCAAGAAAAATTATTTTAAATATAATAATGTTATATGCAATAAACATTAATATTTCAAGGGAGGATATAAATTCTACCTGAAATCACAATAATGTAATTGTGCGGCCTGTTCAGCTAATACTCTTGGAGCACGAGCTGCGCCACGGAGGCCACAGAGGCAAACAAGATGTGCCCCTTGCCCCTAAGGAGGCGATAATCTAACCAGGGAGGTAAAACGGGACTCATAGCTTCTGATCACAGACAGCTAGAGGACACTGCCGGTGTTGCCCATGAACCAAGAGGTCACTGGATCGATTCCCGGCCAGGACACATGTTTCTATCCTTCTCCCTTCCCCTCTCTCTCTAAAAGCAATAAAAACATATTTAAAGAAAAGAAAGCTAGAGGCACAGGGGAAGGGCTAAATGCCTTAGAGAAAGAGGTTTCTGGCTGAGGGGTCAGAAGCGGTTGTGGAAGAGGTGGTGTCCGCACTAGATTGGGAAGGGGGTGCCGTTGAACATGTGGAAGAGGAGCGGCATGCCGGGGGTGCATTTAGAAAAGGGGGTTCTCTTTGGGGTGGTGTGGATCGGAAGGCACAGCCCCAGTGGACACACACCTACGGTCAGGCTGTTCCCGTCCCTCCCGTTCCTGCCCCTCAGAAACTGCTAGCTTCTTCTAATAGCCGCGCCCTGTTTTTCTTACACCTGGAATACCTTCCCACCTGGAAAAATTCTACTCAGCCTCCAGGGCCCCCCACCCCAGAGGTCATCTCTTCTGGGAAGCCACCCACTCCTGGGAGTCACTGCCCCTGTTGCCCCAGGTGGCAGGTGGCATTGCTTTCCTGTCTGCATTCCTTAGGGAACCTCTCTGCCTTCAGAATCAGCAGTGGAGCTGTTGAAAGTACAGATTTCAGGGCAGGAGGTCCCGATGCAGCTCGTCTGCAGGCAACTGAGGCAGGCAGGGGAACTAACTACCCGCCTCCTCCGGGGAGGCAGGCTTTGCTGATGTGTACGCTGGCACCCAGAGGGACTCAGAAAGTCTGCTCAATGAAACGAACGTGGAACAAAGTATCCCGTGTGGCACCCACATGGTAAACCAGTGGCCATAGCAGATCAAAAGTTTAGGCCATGTTTGTGCTGTGGTAGTTCTAAAACAATAGGGTTTGGCACACGCACTTCTATTACTTAGTGTGCAAATGCTTCCACACTAACCTGTGGATGTGACTAAATGTATCACTTGGTGAGAAAGGTTCAGAAACATCACTATAAACGGTACAGATATGCAGGCTGTCCCCAAAACTACACACTTTAACAGGTGACGGCTCCATTTCAAGAATGAAATGTATTTGAATAAGCACTGCTTTTATAATTATTCAAAGTGTGTGTATACGTTTTTTGGGATACCCTATATTACGTAGACTTTTTTTTATTACATAGATTTTTGAGATGCATTTTATAATTTTATTTTTTCATACATTTTTATTGATTTCAGAGAGGAAGGAAAAGGGAGAGAGATCGAAACGGCAATGACTAGAGAGAATCATCGATTGGGGCCTGCAACCCGGGCATGTGCCCTGACCGGGAATTGAACCGTGACCTCCTGGTTTATAGGTCACCGCTCAACCACTGAGCCATGCTGGTTGGGCATAATTTTATTTTTTTAAAGATTTTTTTATTGATAATTAGAGAGAGAGGGAGGGAAAGAGAAAGAGAGAAACATCAATGTGAGACTAAAACATTGATTGGTTGCTGCTTTCACACCCCCGACCAGGGATCGAGCCCAGCACCTGTCGTGCACCCTGACTGGGAATTGAACCAGCAGCCTTTCAGTGCACGGGACGACACCCAACAACTCAGACACGGCGGCCGGGGTGCATTTTATAATGTAGAAAAAATGTCCATGGTGGATTTAAGATGAGAGCAAAATTGCAGAAACATTGATAAGCTAAATGCTTCTTTTCTTTTTAAAGCAACTGGAAACCATCTGTGTCACGGTAACGTCTGGAGAAACGAAAGGTCAGGAAAGGCCGAAGCCCCAGCTGGCCACTGTCTATCCCAGGACAGCCCGGCCGACCCAGCCGCCCGGAAGGCAGTGCCGCGTGTTGGGGCTCAGCGTCGCCAGCCCTCAGCTGCCCAGGGCACAGCTCCTCCTGAGCGCCCGGCCGCAGCCTCCTGTCCAGGTGCTGCTCCAGAGGCCACTGCCCGCCCTCCAGCCGGTCCCTGCGGTGAGACTTGTGGCCCCCCAGGCGCCAAATGGACTCGGCGCCACGTCGGCTCCTCAGTCAGCCTCCGACCAGCCAGCAGTAACATCTGTTTCATCCAGTTCAGCAAATTTATTTATTTCCAACTTGCATACAAAACACACTGAGAAACTAAAAAAACCTTTCAAAGTGAAAACACGTTCTGGGCGGATATCTCGACCTCCCAAGTATAAAGCCAAAGATTATAAATTCATACGGATGGAGGATTTGGCCGACAGCCACCCGTCCGACTCGGACGATTATTCAGAACTGAGTGTGGAAGAGGAGGAGGAGCAGAGGGACAAGCAGGCGCTCTTTGACTTGCCGAGCAGCTCCCTGAGGCCCAGAGCCTTCAGGTGTCAGACGTGTGGAAAGTCATACATAGGGAACGGGGGACTGGCCCGGCACTTTAAACTCCAGCCGGGCCACGGCCAGCCCCAGCCAGAGCCCCAGCCGGAGTCGTTGCTGTCTGAGAAAGCCAAGGGGAGCATGGCCCGGGGCTGTGCGGAGGGCAGGCCCCGTGGCCCCACGTCCCCGGGACCGTCCACACCAGCTCCTCTGAGTGTGGAAGGGGCCCCGTCAGCTCGGGGTGGCCTGCAGGTGAGCTTTCTGTCTGGTGGCAGTGTCCTGTTGCTGCCGTCACCCTTAAAGTAGCCTTTATGGTGTTCGAGGGGTTCAGGCAGAGGCTCAAGCAGAACCAAGTCCCCTTTTGGGGGATCTGAGACCCACCTTGTGGGCCCGCTGCCGGGGAAGGGAGGTGTCTGTCCGGCGCAGCCAGGTCCTCCAGCGTGGTCATCGGGCTGTGCGCAGCACACTCCAGCTGACAGCGCCTCTTGGGAAAGGTCGGGATCGGGGGCAGCGGCCCACGGTGCCTCCTGGGACATCGGCAGTGACACCTGGGCGGCTTCTCTCCCCTTGTTGCCCCTTCCAACACCATCCAGAACGGTCAGCCTATGGAAGTGGAAGCGGCGCAGGTGACGGAACCAGCAGATGAACGTTACTCAGCCCTTTGGGAATCAGAGAGACGCCCCGGACCTGAAAGGGGCTACGCCCCGGCCCCCGCGGGCCAGAGTCGAGCTGCCAGGAGCAGAGCCAGGCTCCAGGAGGTACGTCGCTCTCACACTTGGTGAGACCTGTTTGGCATGGAATGTGGCCGTTCGCTATTAGGCTCCTGAATTGGAACGTAAATTACCCAGGTCAGTAGGCAGTTCACCTGGAGTGTACTTGGGTGAAGCCCGCAGTTAATTCCAGGCTGTTCACCTGGAACCATTCAGGTTTACCTGTCTGAACGGACCAGAGGGTCTTACCTACAGCAAGGGCTGCTTGCCTTTATACGTTTTGGAAAATTATAACCCGTGTTTTCATGGAAGCCATTCAGAAAACAGCAGAAGTAGTTTTTGCGGTTGTTACTGTCATAAGTTGCAAGATATAAAAGCATGTTTCAGGTTTTGAGTCCAGGAATCTCCAACCCAGCCCGGAAAGAAGGTGTACGGAACTTATTTATTTATTTATCTTCTTTTTAAAAAATATTTTTATTGATTTCAGAGAGGAAGGGAGAGGGAGAGATAGAAACATCAATAATGAGAGAGAATCATTGATCGGCTGCCTCCTGCACGCCCCACACTGGGGATGGAGCCCGAAACCCGGGCATGTGCTCTGACCAGAATCAAACCTGGGAGCCTTCAGTCCGAAGGCCAACGCTCTATCCACTGAGCCACACCAGCCAGGGCAGTGCACTGAATCTAGCTGGACTAACTGGGAAAAGTGGGACTCACTCAAGTTGCCTTTGGCCAGGACGCATGTATTTGCCTGGTCACGGTGGATGGATGGATGTCTTAAGGGAAGTGAGAGCCAGCAAGAGAGCGCGAGGCCAGTCAGCGAGACACCAGCTCCACACGCAGGGGAGGAAGTGGTTTCACAGGAAGTGGCTTCCTAGAGAGCTCCGTGAGGTTACGGTTCTAGCGGGAAATTTGAGCCCTGGTGAACTGGCTTGTGGGGTAGGGCGTGGGGCTTGTTAATTAATCCGGGTGACTCGTGTTCAGGAGCAGGAGGTGAGGTAGTCCTTGGCTTGACTCGCTCGTTAGCGTCAATTAGCCTCCCCGCACCGGGTTAGGCCCTCTGCACAGCCCAGCCGCGCCCCGGCCTGTGCGGAGTTCCCGGTGCGCTCCCCTCACGGTCCGTGACGGAGGTTACCTCGCTTAACAGTGAGGAGCTGAGACTGCAGAGGCTGCACCCCGTACAGGTCCCCCTGGGGTGGCAGGTCTGGAACCTGGATCTAGGGTGTTTGGTGTACACGCGCGGCCTGTCTGCTCAGTGTGACGGGGACTCGAACACGGTGGTCCTTCACGTTAGCGAGGTGGCACGGGAAGCTGAGGACTGCTGACCGCACCCTGACTCGCAGAGAGGCCCTCAGAACCAGGCGCTAGAGCACACGCTGCTGCCTGCACGGACCAGGCCTGTCCTGGGTGTGGAGGGGACAGTGTGCGCGAGAGAGACACCCCACTCGGGGAAAGATGACAGCCACACTGGCCAGGGACAGTTGCCAGAGAAGGAGGAGGTGCCTGGCTGCTGTCGGCCAGGTGTGGCGAGACGACGCCCACTTTCCCCCCTCCCACACCTCCCGGGTGCTGGAAACCAGCTGGTCATTTCTCTAAGGGCTTTGCGGGTCATAAACACCCGATCCTACAGAGAAAGGTCTTCCTTTTGCTTTTGTGACTTTCCTGAGCCACTGGCTCCCGCTGATGGCTCCTCAACCTCCCTGAGCCCATGTCCTCCCTGAGCCTCGGGGCCTTCCTGTCTCTAGGGCCCTCCGCTTCCACCACCCTATTGCTGCCCTGGCTGACCTCGTCCATCCCCCTGTGTCTCGACCCGCGCTCCCCTGCTGGCTCCCACGTCCGTTCTGCATGTTAAGACCTCTCTGGCGCTTCAGCCTCGATTCCAAACGTCCCACAGCTGGTTCCTGTCCCACCCACCTTGCCAGGTCTGCCCAGAGCTCAGCCGGGCACCCAGAGCACCCATGGCTCTCCTTTCCCCTCACACACCCCTCCCCATTCCAGCGGTCACTCAGCCCTGGGGACTGCACCCTCCCTGCTGCCTCCCAGATACCCC